TAGTAGTAGTAGTAGTAGTAGTAGTAGTAGTAGTAGTAGTAGTAGCAGTAGTAGTAGTAGTAGTAGTAGTAGTAGTAGTAGTAGTAGTAGCAGTAGTGGAGTCGAAGTCGTAGTAGTAGTAGGCGTAGGAGTAGAAGTAGAAGTAGATGTCGTTGGGTCGGAGGCCTGTGAGGGCATGTTCGGCGCCTCTGAGGGCCTCTTGGAGACATGTTGGGGGCATCTCCTCGTGGGGCCTCTTGGGGGCCTCTTGGAGCCTCTTGGGGCCTCTTGGGGGCCTCTTGGGAGCCTCTTGGGGGCCTCCTGGGGGCCTCGTGGGGCCTCTGGGGGCCTCCTGGGGGTCTCTTGGGGGCCTCTTGGGGGCCTCTTGGGGCCTCTCGGGGGACTCTGGGGGGCCTCTTGGAGGCCTCTTGGGAGGCTCCTGGGGGCCTCTTGGGGCCATCTTGGGGCCTCTTGCGACCTCCTCTGCAGCGCTAAGGAGCGCTGCCCCCTGAAAAGGACAATCTGATGCCAAAACCGTAGTAACATCGACGATTTTGCTATAGAGGAAGAGAAGCGCGGCCCCCTCAGGAGGCGACAATGGGGCCAAAACCGTAGTAAAATCAATGATTTTGGCTTCGCAGAAGAGCAGAGGAGCCAAACTCGCCCCCCCCGTCGGGGCCAGAATCCTCGTGAGTGTCGTCGTTTTTTAGCCCTCCCAGGAGTCGGAAAAGACCCCTCCAACGACCCGCGGGGCACCCTCTCCAGGTCCAGGGGGAGGGGGTAGGGGGAGGGGTAAACCCCTCCCCGAAGGGGAAGAAGGGGGGTTGGGGGGTTGAGAACAGAGAAAGCTCGCTAAACCACTCACGCCCAAAGGGCTGGTGGGACTAGAACCGACTGGCGAGCGACAGCAGCGCTACAGGAAACAAACATCTAGGCCCCGACAGTCCAGGGCGGATCTTCAGGGGGAGGAGGGGGAGGCTCATGATGATAGCGGTGATGGGAACGAGGGGGAGGAGTGATGAGGGGGAGGACGAGGGGGACGATGTTTTTGTTGTGCAATCGGCTGTGCTTCAGCCCTCCACGTTGTCCTGAGACCGTTGCGCGACAAACTCAGCGGCACGGAATGACACGGCAGGGTCGTCGCCAAACGCAATCTGCAACCCGCCTTTGGCGTTGATGGTCCTGTCTTTCAGAATTGGCTCGATGTCCGCTGGGACGTCAGTGGACGGCAATTCCGACAAGTTGCATATGTAGAAACATAGGGGTTCGCTGCAGATCTCGAACTTGAACGGTTCGGTTACCTTCCAGATGAATCGTGTAGCACGTCGCTCCTGGCGGTGGTTGGCCAAGAGCCAGCGCCTCCTCTGGAATGCGCTTGACGTTCTTCTCGATCTTCGCCTTCTTGGCGACCTTGGGGTCCACGGCCGGTTTGCCTCGTTTCGGAGGCGGCTCTGGAGCTTCAGGAGGTACATCATCACGGCCAGGTTCATCATCAGCCTCGGCTGCTTCAGGCTTCCCTCGCTTTGTTGTGGCTTTCATTGCAGGCATCCCCTTCTTAAGCGGTCCTTTTGGGTTTGCAGGCGTATACTCCAACTTTCCATCCACCAAGGAAGAATTTGGCAACTCCAGCTCAATCTCATCAGCGTACTTCGGCCACTTGGCAACAATGCGTCCGTTGACCCCTTCCACGTAAGTGGCCTCCACGTGCTTGCCATCAGACATGACGAGGTACGCCTTTCCCGAGCCAGCGTCGAAGTTTTTGAAGATCGGCACCGCCTCGTCATCGGCCTCCCCGCTGGACGTTTCTGCATCGCCATCGCCCTGTAGGGCTCGGAAAGCAGGCAGCGGATGGGGGCGAGCAGGTGGACGCTCTCCAGGTGGCAGCCTCCGCTGGATAACCCGATAGACGTCGATCAACTCTTGAGGGTGCGACTTCTTGGCCGAATCTTTGGTTTTGTCTGTGAGTCTTTCCCAGTCGTCGTGTTTGAGCCTCGTGTGAGACAGCATTACTCGGATCCAATATGCGCTTTTCTTCACACCAGTTTCGGAGGTAACCTCTTGTACTTTGAGCCATTCATCCAATACTTTTTTCTCTTCAGCTTGCGCTGTGATGCGTGTAAGAGCACATTCCACATCGTACTGCAAGTAGTAACCTCCGCGTGTGTCCAATGCCATCAGGCGCTGCATCATGTTGGCGAAAGCTTGGAGTTAGCAGACACTAATTCCGATCTTCATGTCGGTGCTGGGGTACACGTAGCCTCCTCGCATCATACTGCTGACAAAGTCGGGCTTGAGGGCCTCGTACAGATAATCTTCCGCTGTAGATGAATCCGTGGGCTTCCACGCGGAAGGATGCGTCGTGGCCGCCATTGCCACGCACTGCGCAACGTTACATATGGATATGAGTTTGTAGATTGGCGAGGACATAATCGGCAATTGAGCCCAAATGGCTATGGTGTTGTTTGCGTGCTATATATGTGATTCGTGTGTTTCGTTCCCTGGTGGGTCGCATTTCAACTGTTTGTTCTGCTGTTTATTTTGTGATGATCCTTGTATTTGTGCGGCGTATGTTCGCGTTTTGCTTCTGTTTTTGATATTTGAAATGGGGATGGGGGGGTGTCGATTGTTTTTGTGCTGAGAAGGTGGAGCTGTGTTTACTGATTCCTGAAAACTGAGAATTGCGTGACGATGGAGCATATCTTACGCACGACGACACACTTCGTTGTTACGCGGCGGCTAACGCTGGGCACCAGCGCGGCACAGCGCGTGGAAGAGAGGGCGCTTATGCGCGCGGCCTTACGCGGGAACCTCACGCGCGAATGTCTGTGCAATCGGCCCCATTTTTGTTGCGTTGCCTGCGGTCGAACTTCAAAGACGCCCTTCGTGCATCTTGCTCTGCCCCAACGGAAACGCGCGTTTCCTCGCTGTACGATAGGATTGAAAGGGAGAATGAGAACACGGTCCACGTCGGGTCCGACCCCGACTCCCAACTCCCGGGCGCCCGACTACGGTTGGGCAAGCGTCATGTTCTCTTAACGTTGCAATTGATGCACATGCATGATAAGGTGGAGGGGAGGGGGCAACACCAGAACCTTCACCCAACCCACGCCCCTACGACTGACAGTGGGAAATCTACTAGACAGGCAGGGGTGGGATATTTAGGGCAGAGTTCAATCATGGTTGTGTTTGTGTTTGTGCTTGTGATGTTGCCTTTACACACACGGGTACATAGACATGACCGGGTGCAGATTTCAACCTTACTCTGGATATGCATTGTCTTATGCTTGGTTCCTGGGGTAGGGGCTACAAGTAGCTCGATGGGCGAGCCACTTCAATACTTGCAGGGTCTCAATAATTATTATTTGGATCACATGTGTCATCAATTGGTTTACGACCGGATGCAGCTTCCAACCGTACTCTGGATATGCATTGTCTTATGCTTGGTTCCTGGGGTAGGGGCTACAAGTAGCTCGATGGGCGAGCCACTTCAATACTTGCAGGGTCTTACAATACCTTGCTCTTGGTTTCACTACTACCGATTCTGGGTGATTTCAATTCTTCTGGTGGTGTGTGTGCGGGTGGCCCTTGGGTGTGGAGGGGCCCGACCTGCGCCACACGGCCCTTGGGACACGAACTTCCAGACCCTGGCCCTCCGAACCCCGAAGGGGTTCCGGAGGGAGGCGAGGAAGATTCGGAAGGCTCGGAAGAGGGGGGCTCGCAAGCGGGAGCCGTACGACGATGCACGAGCGGCCCGACGAGCAATCCAACGATTAAGAGCAGTCCCGCGAGCAATCCTACGAGCAGTCCTGCGGCTGTGGAGTGCGACCCAGCACAGCACAAGCAGTCCCACGACGACACAGCACAGCACAAGCAGTCCCACGACGACGCAGCACAGCACAAGCAGTCCCACTACGTCGCAGCACAGCACAAGCAGTCCCACGACGACGCAGCACAGCACAAGCAGTCCCACGACGACACAGACCCACGACGACGCAGCACAGCACAAGCAGTCCCACGACGACACAGCACAGCCACTCATCATGGATGATGCCGACGGTTCGGGAGGGATTCAGACGGACACCCAGCCGTTGCAAGTGGATGAGGATGGTGGTGCGGCCCACGATATATGGGACATAATACATATACTTGTTGGTTGTATTGCCAAGGCCATCGCTGATCTATCGATGATGCATGCTTGTGTTCTTGGTAATCGTATCCGTATATTTACCGATTGTGACGGAACAATTTTGCCAGATATTGCCGCTACGACGCCGTATGTTGTACTTCAGTTCTTCATTGGGCTGGTGTCTTCTCCCACGACGACGCAGCACAGCACAGGCAGTCCCACTACGACGCAGCACAGCACAAGCAGTCCCACGACGACGCAGCACAGCACAAGCAGTCCCACGACGACACAGCACAGCACAAGCAGTCCCACAACGACACAGCACAGCAATAGCAGTCTCACGGCGACGCAGCACGACACTGCACAGCACAAGCAGTCCCACGACGACACAGCACAGCACCAGCAGTCCCACGACGACGCAGCACAGCACAAGAAGTCCCACTACGACGCAGCACAGCACAAACAGTCCCACGACGACACAGCACAGCCACTCATCATGGATGTTGCCGACGGTTCGGGAGGGATTCAGACGGACACCCAGCCGTTGCAAGTGGATGAGGATGGTGGTGCGGCCCACGATATATGGGAAGTAATACATATATTTGTTGGTTTTCCTGCCAAGGCCATCGCTGATCTATCGATGATGCATGCTTCTGTTGTTGGTAATCATATCCGTATATTTTCCGATTGTGACGGAACAATTATGCCAGATCTTGCCGCGGAGGCCGGCGCCAGTGGGCTATCGTACTCTCTGTGTGATGGACGGCTCGACTTTCGTGCCGGGACAAGGCGCGATGCGGGTCAAGGGGGCAGCCGAACCACCGCACGTCAGCGGAGAGAGAAGCAGATTGCATCCATCGTCTCCGCAATCCTGGCCAGTGACAAACCACCAACAAAGAAAAATAAAAAAGACAAAAGCCCGAGGTTCACCGCCACGGACAGCCGCACCGGGACCAGCACCGGCGCAAGCACCAGCACCAGCACCGACCACAAACACTAGCCTACTGACCATTCTGCAACAAGCGGTGGCACACGCACCCAAAAACACCAGCGATGAAGCAATCCTGGACCGACTAGAGGAGCTCCTCGCCGCTCGGAGGACCCAACCACCCACGACCACACTGCCGCGTAGGGGGCGATGGAGAAAAGATGCGGCCAACCAGAGCACAGCCACAGGTCAACACTCACCAGACACTGGTTCCAACCAGCCAGTTCCGACCCGGAGGTGGAAAGTGGATGAACGACGTTTCCCTGGCAAGCAGTTCTCGGGGGCCACGCAGGTCCTAAACGCTCTCCGAGAAGGCCGGGCGCCCGACGGCGACGTTGTAGTGCTGAACGCGGTCCAGAAGCAGGAGGCGGTAGAATTGGCCCAAGTACACGGGGTACAGAAGAACATGACCGTAATTGTGTCTGACACACCTGACAACGACCAAACGACGGCAGCTAACGGCGACGACACATCCCAGTGGGTAGCGGTCGTCAAAGGAGGCCGGCCGAGCATGAAGAAACTGGAGTGCACCAACCTTCAAGGGGCCAATATTGACGCACCGAAACACGAAGTGGAAGGCCCTGAGCCGCCTGCTGTACGTGCCACGACCACGGTACGTGTGACAATGGTCAAGGAATTCATGACAGACGCGCAATGGAAGACGGCCCGCCAGCGGCCCGGCGCCGTGGCGACGGGAGATCTCGATAAGGACGCCATCCTGGCAGCGGAAGCCTTCTCTGAGGTCCTCGAAGCAGGAAAGTTGGTAGCCCTGATTGGGTACCTCACGGTCGCCGCGGCTGGGCTGGCCCCAGTGTTCGACGCTTCCGGAGCCCGCGGCCGCTTCTACAGGGTGCTTGCGAAGGACCGTTCGGGCCCAGACACACCAGTCCGCTGGATTAAACGGCTCGACGACGCGAGCCTCGACTACTATCGCCGTGTGCAAGGTCTGGTGGCCTCAACGACCAATGCAACAATAGTCCTCCGGAGTGGAGGAGGAAACAACCTTGGTGTGGTGGGAATCGACGTGGACGACGCGCAGGCAGTTACGACCCGACCAGCGGCATGGCGGATCCTACACGTCCCACGTACATGGACAGCCCACGAACTCAAAACTTGGCTAGGAGCGGCCGGGTGGACAGAAGTACAGGTTGAATCGCCGCCACAGAGCAGGAACGGGCCATGGGTTGTAAGGGCCCACCCGCGCCGACCCGGAAGCGACACCACCGTCGACGCCTGGGCTATCACACTCAGAGGACAAGACCAAGCCATCCAGATTCAACGCTTCTTGCGCGGCGCGGGAGGCCAGACAACACAACCAACGACGACTCGAAGATGGCGGTGGGGTGCCGACCCGCCCGCCCCACCCGCAGCACCCGATGGCGTGGCAGTGCCTGGGGTGCACGACATGGACGTGGACTTGGACGCCGAATACACTACCGACAAACAGAAACGACAAGAACGGTACGACCAGGAGGACATGGACCTCGACGGCCTAGCGGAGGAGACCCGGACCACTGAGAGGGCCAAGAGGACAGCCGCACGGGAGGCGGAAGACGCTAAAGTCCGTGACAGGATCAAGAAAACCCGGGGTGAAGCAGCGGCTGCGCCGGCAAAGCTACCAGGGACTGCAGGCCCAGCAGCCGCGCCAGCAGCAAAAGCAGCGGCCAAGCCCGCCGCGAAGTTGCCGCCCAAGCGGAAGAACCCGTTCGAAGCCATCGACCCCGGTTCCAACGGAGGCGACTGCGGATACCGGGCCCTGGCTGCGGGTTGGGCTCTGCTCGGGGGAGTCGCCAAGGCCACGCGGGAGAACACGCTGAACCCCGCCAAGATCGAGAGAATGGCGAAGACCCTACGAGCGCAACTTGCATTACGTATCAGCAACAACCATGAGTTTTTCCAACACTACTGGGCCCACGTACCCCTGGGGGAGGGGAAGGAAGACGGGGCTATTCCGACCACCCGGGAGGAGTACGTCGCAGCGTGTAAAAGACCGAAGCGGTGGATCGACGGGCTGTCCTACCAGGCGGCATGTGACCATTTCAACCGACACATATACACATACACAGGGGTGGGTGCTCAGCTCAACGACGTCAATTGGGTAGACAAGGTATTTTGGATCCCGCAGTCTCCGGACGCACAGCGAGCAGCACTCTTGCAGCCTCCCCTACACGTGGGCCTGTGGAAAGACCACTGTTACATTTTACTGCCAGACGACGGCACCAGGCACAAGAAGGATACCAAACGACCGAGCAAGGC